CCCCCTTCAGGACCCTCAATTAAATCCCCATTAGTCTAGGACATGCATATGAGTTTGTATGCGTTTCATTTAGCACAGGTAATCTCAACTGTTTTAGGGTAAAATGACCATGGCGGTCAACATGGCAAAAACCTGAATGTGCCAAAATCTGAATCCGGGACGAAAGTCCTGAAAATGACCCCGCCCTGAAACTGCAGTGTCGACATAGCTCTAACTTAGTAGTCTGGGTAATTGGTCAACTAATTCCGGGCTTGTATTTAATCAAGACAAGTGCAAGCTTCAGCAAATTACCAGGAAAAAGAACCCGATCGACTTCCCCTGCGAGATAAATAACAAATTACTAGAAATTTCATCGGAAGAGAAAGACCTGGGTATTTGGGTTCCTGGGGCGCTTACCTGGTCAAAACACACCTTTGACCGCTGTGCAAAGGCTAACAAGTTGCTTGGCTTCCTGCGCAGATCTGCTGTTGAAGTCAAAAATGCAAACACCCGCCGCACGCTCTACCTGGCAATTGTGCGTCCTGCATTAGGCTACGCCACCCAAGTCGAGTCACCGCAGTCAATTAAACTAGTGGAAAGACAGAGCGCGTTCAACACCGAGCTTCATAATTTTTCCTTAAGCTGCCCTTCACCTGTACAGAATCCTACAAAGACAGACTGATGTCTATAAATCTGTTACCAGTCTCTTATTGGCATGAGTATCTTGACTTGATGTTCTTTTTTAAGGCCATAAATGGTATTATAACTGTTCCAAAGGAAATCTTGCCGAAACGATCTATTCCCTCAAGGGCTACTTGATCATCTTCAAATAACAGTGTTATCTCGTAAACCGTCCTCGTAGATAGGCTTCTACAGATTATGCTACGAAAATACTGAAATTGTGCTCTAAAAATGCTCAAATGTTGCTCGAAATTTGAATAAGTTGCTCAAAAGTTGCTCGAAAATTTAATAAGCTGCTCAAAAGTTGCTCGAAAATTGAAAAAAAATTGCTCCTAAAATGTAAAAAGTTTCTCGTAACGAACAAGACATACATGACGCTTCTCCCAGCCTTAGCTTTTCACCGCTCATTTTTCTTCATAAATATTGTGGGGTTATAAACAAATCGCTTTTAATTGTTTACAAGCGAAAATAATATTCAATTTTGTGTATGACATACTGAAATGCTATTGAATTCAATTAATATTTCTATTCTAGTCTTATTCTGTGGTAGCAGGTCGCGAAACTGAGGTAACTTATTTCTCAGCGTTTTTCAGTAAACTTTTCTTCGGTTTGCAACATACTGCAGCTACGAATAATCTATAGTCTATAGACTCTATTTCTTATATGTATTTATAAAAATAGGTACGCTAAGCGTACATGTATCTGCTCATGGTGATTGCACTTTTGCCAAGGCTTCAATCAACACTCAGTAGCTTGTAAAAAAATTAAGGGACTGATGTTTAACAGTTGACCAGTTAAATAAAGTTAGATTTATAGTATGTCAGATGAAAGAAAAATAAAATGGCTGATATATATTCAACTTGCAGAAACTAATTCCGGCTATAACGTCACAAAGATGATATTCAATTTTATGATGTTCTTGTTGAATCATCTTAATTTTATAATGTTCTTGCAGGGATGGATCCAGCATGATCTGATAGGGGGGGGGGTACTCTGCCTGCTCTGGTGCCGAGTTGTGTCGGTCATGTGTGCCACCCACCCATCAACTTGCTTCACTATTGCAAAGTCTTGCTTGACTACAGTATTTGAATTGTAATTGTTGTTCACAGTTTGCCTATCATCATATTATTACTCAAATTTCTGTATCTCATTTTGTTTCTAATAATTTTTTGTTTATCATGAAAAATAGGACCCCCTCCTGCACCCCCTCTGGCCAGGGCTAGGGGGGTGCACACCCCCCCCCCAGTAAATCCATCTCTGTGTTCTTGTTAAAACATTTCGGGTTCCAAATCTTCTTGATAGTTCATAATAAACTTTAGCAGGGATGCGAGAACATGGTAGATGCATAGAAGTTGTCAGGATAACAGGTGGTGCCAATATACATTGTTGTTCATTGTTGATTAATTGATTCATTGACATTATTGACACTCCCCTGAAGGGGCTTTTCAGTGACAAAAATTACAAACACATAAACTTACTGTATTATTACTAGATTAGTCCTAATTAATTTTATTGAAACAGATTACTAGCAAACAAGGAAAACTTCACAAAAACTGCGACATCAACATCAACATCAACATCAACAACAACAACAACAACAACAACAACAACAACAACAACAACAACAATGATAACACACCAACAGTAGCATCGACAATGCTTATTGATCAACTACTGAAAAACAAGTACTTAATAACTATCCAGGAATTGCTGGAGAAGTTTATGTCTTAGTTTTAACTTTACATTTTGCAGAGTTTTGGAAGCCTTCTTATACCATAAAATTTTTGATACATACATAACATCAACATTTCTGCTGTTTATAATTGTTTTTAAGTATAATCTATTCCCTTTTAGAAAATGTCATAGTCAGGGTTGATGGCACACAAATCAACTGTTTATGCCTAGTAAATATATCAAATAGGTCATATATTGAAAGTCATTCATCAGCAACAAATGATGACAAGTATGGAAATTAGAAGTATAATTGATGCATATAGTTCTTGAATAGAATGATATAATTCAGCACAACAGATCCATGCAATAATATTTTGTCGTGGAAGAAAATCCACTAAACAGAATATTATGTTAGTTTTGTACATTGTGTGCTATATTAAATAAGATCCCATTATGACATATGGTTGTTGTTGATTATAAGACAATATAGTATGGGATAGGTGAAGGGGGATATAAATTGCTTAACTGGTGTTCTTGGCAATGACATTCAGTTGCAGAAATCAGGGTCGATGAAGAAGGCAACCTCGTTCCCAGGCTCTTTGCTCTTGGGAAGCAAAGACCCTGGTCGGAGCTGGTCACGTGAACCCCCAGATTTTGGGGGTAAATTGAATTTGATCTCAGGGAGGGGTAGTAGAGTAGTCTGTTTGTTGCGTTTGGAAAATTGCAACTTTATGTGTTATAATTTCGGGTGATAAAAATGTAATTTGCAACAAGAGATTGTGAAAGGAACTGTTCTAAATTCGTACCGATCATGACAAGACTTCCTGCTATCCTGAATGTCATCAATAATAAGTGTTGCGTTACATTTCAAGCGAGAAGCTGGATCATATTTCACTTGCAAGGAAAACACTCCACACGCGCCTGGCTTGCGAAGTTTAGCACGTATCGCCGTAGAAACATACATATCTTCTACACAGACTGATCGATCAAACGGTATTAAACGAACGATATGGTTCTTTATAGTTGAAGTGTATCCTGTCCGATATTCAAAACAAAAGATTTATTTTATAACGGGATCCTTTGTCTTTGATTTCCCAAACATCGCCAACATGTGTAAACAATAGTACTATTCTGACTGTAAAAGCACAGGATTAAAACCCGTTATGGACTGGCTATAAAATTCATTTCATTTACATTGCTGAAACTCAACGATCAAGAAAGATAATGTCGAAGTGTAGCTAGCTATCTGTTATCACACAAACGCCAAGACTCCTCCGTGCGTTTCCGTGCGTGCGGTACAACTTGAATATCTAGGACGATATATGCACCAGACACTGGTATTGTACTTTATATAAATTATTTCATATTTTGTATATACAGTAATTTGCAACATGTATAATATTAGACCTTTCATTGACATTGGCATTGTCCATTGAGGGCTTTATTGAAGAATAATCCAGCTTCTTTAGACTTGTATAATGGATTAATGCCGCTGTGAGTTATCAATATTTAAATCAACTTTAATCTTTATCGTATACTGTAATCGACATTTTAGAAGTTTAGTCTGTTTTACCAAACAATACTGGAGGCAAACAACCTATCTATCAATGGAAACTTTAAAAGGTTTGTTACAGTAAAACTCATTAATATAAGCGAGACTTCGTGTGCATATACAGTTTATGAATTATGTATATCCCTGATAAAACGTAGGACACTTTATACCAGATATAATAAAAAATACTTTGCTAAACCTTTTCGGCTGTCATTCCTTTGCATTTAAGGGGAGAGGGTAAATGGCGATAGAATTTATAGGAGATGCTGTGCAATATTTTGGCTTCAACAGACAGGTACTCGTGCAGACAAAAAAGGAAATTCATGCAGTTTTGAATTGTCGTATGTCAGCTGTGCACTGTCGATTTCGAACAATTTTGTACGTTATATTTTGTCTTCCTGGTGTTTAATATAAACGATGATAACCTTTTAAAAAAATCTAGAGCAATATGTCTATAAACAGTTTTAGAATCAATAGAATGGACATTCAATGTGTATTTGGCTTGTGTCCAAATGTGTCACGTTTAAGACCGGCAAGGCGCTAATCCTACGACCTATAAACAGTCGCTTTTGAGACATCTGTTTAACAAAATTTATACCATGTCCATATCAGAACAATTCATTGGCATATTATAAGCATATTATAAATATCAGAGCCAGAACAGAAACGTATGCGTGAAATAAAACTACGCCCGAACCGGCGAACCCCGAGAAAATAAAAATATTTCAAAGCGTACAGTCATACGTTCTCGTTGCTTGATTTCCTGAATTTTCTGTTGCTATAAGAATCTGCATTTTAGCATGTTTGTATAATTTAAAAGCAAACAGAAACCAATTTAGCAAGTAGTTTGAGGTATATATGATTCTTGAAGATGAATTAATGATTGTACAGAACGGCCACTCCTTGCAATCGAAGTGCGGAAGTGGAAACATGTAATATGAGACTTTTCCATCCCCCTCTTGGGCTATCAATTTTCAATGGGTCACGTGACCAGCTCCGACCAGGGTCTTTGCTTCCCAAGAGCAAAGAGCCTGGGAACGAGGTTGTGAAGAAGGGAGCACCCCGTCCAGGATATATAGTTAATAATTATGACTGGTTACAACTGTTACTATAAGTATTGATATTCCAATCTAAAACTGAATCTCTGCTCTTTATGCAGCCACTATTACTTTGGCTTTGCTTTAATGAAAGCAATTATTCAATGCACATACTGCTATAAAGTGCTTTAAGAGAAATGTTTCCAATATGTGTGACTTAGCTTCTGACTCTGCTAAATTTGTATAAAAATGATCTATCAAAGTCTGTAATGAAAGCAGACACCAATTGTCTATAGTTATAATCATTGATAAAGAAATTATGTAACCTTACGAAATTATATAGCCTTCTATTGGTTTCATTCAACTAATTTATATTAACTAAGTCACCAATGAAAATGTTAAATTTAGAAGTACATAAACATCAACACTTACAACTCGATATACACCAACAACGGCAACATGTGGAAGAATCATTACTTTCATAATTTCATAATAGTATTCTCAATAACAGGTGGGAAATTTGTCTGAGCATGCGCGAGCAAAATGAGTCACGCAATTGAGTGGAATATACACGCAACGCGTGTTTACAAAAAGGCACAATCGTGTAAATATTGCCAAATGTTTGCACAAAATAAATGACTGTTTTATGTTGAAAATGGACATGATCTAAATTAATCATACAGAATTGTTTAGTGACTTTCTATTTCAGTACCTTGCCATTGTCTCTGGTTCGTGTGC